TAATACTTTTTTGGCATTTTGTTTAGCTTTTTCGGTGTCATGGGATATTAATGTTGATAATATTCATGCTCCTTCCAAATTTTAATACCCATCAATAATACTTTCTTTTTTACTTTGAGCTTCTTGTCTGGCATCATGCTTCGGTTGCATTGCCTTATCAACAGCTCGATCATTTCTTAATCACATCGGTTTACTTGTAGAATAGCCAACTTATTTGTGTTTGAAGTAGTCTTAGGTTGTTCATATTTTAATTCCACCTGAACTTCTGGTTACTAAATTTCCTCATGACTGCTCGATTCCACGAGCTAACATTGCGCGGTTTTGTATTCTGCTTCCCTTGTGAGCGTATTTTATGCTGTTTCCTACGTTTAAAGCTTTTCATGAGTAAATATTTGACCTCCAAAATGTAGGACTCTGTAGTCCCTTTAATATTTTCACATTCACACCAACTTTTATTTTCGTTCTGACATTCTCACCCTATGTTGTTGAATTTGGCGCTGTTTTTCTGATGGAATATTCCCAACTTTAGCAATCAAGCAGCGTCTGCAGATGTTTAATAGTCCATATCACAACACCTGGGATTGCCTACGACGGGTTTGTCGGAATGAAGGCGTCAGAATCCTATATCGCGCCTACTTCACCCAGCTCTCCACCAACATACCCTTCCAATGCATCCATTTTATGGCATACGAGTTTCTCCAGGAGAAATTGAATCCCTCAAAGCAGTATCTACCATGGACGCACATCGTCTCGGGTGGCTTAGCCGGCTCTATTGCTGCAGCCTTTACCACTCCCATGGATGTATGTAAGACTGTCCTCAACACACAGGTAGGTGCCTCTCCATGCCTCCTATTTGCCTTCAGCACTCATCTGTTGTGGAAGAGTTACAATGATACACAGCGTGGCCATTCAGTAGATTTGCAAATCCTCGTGTCCATTTAGCTTCAGTGCCTTAATTATGGTGCAAACTGCTTTTGAAGACAGTACACCAAACCTTATCATTTTTTTCAAGATGCTTGGCTCCAAAAACTAATGATCTGTTATTATTATGGAACAGATTGGGGTTTTTTTGCTTTTAATTGTTCGTAGGAATCTCAATCGTTTAAGTGTATCTAAAACAAGGTGGTTGATGATAGCTACCTGATTTTGTGTCTAATTCCCGCACCTGACTTTAGAAACTGTAAATCGTGCATATCATGCGGCTGTTTTAGTCTTATTCTTTCGGTAAAGTTCAATTCTAGCACCGATTGTAAAATCTGCGAGTACTTTTTGATGTACATTTCTTCCCAATGAAACTGAATGCTTATGCTCATTTTCATTTTACTGTTAGCATTGCTGCGTGCGATCAAAGCATCCCGAGCGTTCATTTTTATCACTGCTAACAAAGGAGAATCAATGGCAGAGGTGGAGATTAGCACATGACATGGGTGATATAGCACGAACCCGTGAAATCCCTTTATTTGTCAGTCACTAGTATTGTCTGAAAAGGGTCTTGGTAGAATTTATCGCTTCACACAAACCACGAATTTTTGCCCTTTCGCTATGCAGACCTACGGCGGGGGCATCTCCAGTGGAGCGGGTGGTACACCTAACGAGATGATTGTCCCACCAGCCACCAATTCGGTCATCAGAGGTCTTCTCGGAGCATGTAGGGCGGTGGTGCGATCTCAGGGCGTGCATGGTCTGTTTCTGGGCATGAATGCGCGTATCGTGGCCACTCTGCCAGGAACAGCCATTTCTTGGTCCGTCTATGAGTACTTCAAGTGGACGCTCTCTAAGTACTCCGTCGATTCTTCGGTGCCCCCCTCAGCTTCTTCTGTTGTGTTTATGGAAATGGCAGAGGATGATTCTCAATCATTGTCTTGACAAAAACCCATCTAACCCACCTGAATCTCTCAGGGTGCTTACTAGCATGGTACACAATCAGTCAGTGGTTTATTATCCATTCCTTGTACATAG